ACCTCCATATCTAAATGGTGGAATTATCCGAGACAGACGGGTCGCGGGGTCAGAAGGCGTCCTTGGGTGTCCGAGGACTGTTGCTATAGGGCGCCATGCCCGGGCCCCTCGTGACAGACGAGGCAGGGAACCATCAGGTTCATTCGTTACGAAGGCGCAACTTAAGCGTCTGTGTAGCGACTTTGTTGCAAGACGTGGACCCGTCTTAAGTTTCCTTTATATTTTGCTCATTTCATTGGATCCGACTAGAACACACCCGACATTGTGCCTCAGCCAGCTCAATCCACTTCAAGCTAGATTTCAGTGTTAGGGACTACCCTCTTAGCGTTTCTGTCGCCTAACTGCCCCCCCCATAAAGCTTTCCAACCGAAATTTTGAAGATATTTCTTATTTCTGACATGGTTTCCATAGAGGATGTGTGAGTCGAGGTGAAGAATAGAACGTACAAAGCTTCTCGCCGAGTAATTTTCTCAGTCCCCTTCATCAGCTGCTGCTTTAACTCTGTGAATGCAAAGAACGCCTGTTCTCGGTTGTTCAGAGCGTGCGTCTTTCCACACATTTAATCAAATACGCGTACAGCAGGCAGGTCGTGCCACTCTGTGCATCCGGATGTTTCGTTTGCGAAATTACTCCACCGGATTCCGCTGAAATTTGGTATTGGTGTCCGCGCTGAAAGTTGCCACGTCACTTACCGAGTTTCTCAATGTAGTCTCATCGTACAGAAGTCTGTACCAACATAAAATATATCTCGTAGGATTCGGTTATGAAGAGTGCTATCTTCTTGTATACTATAACACCGTGCAATCCGTTCAAGGTCAGCCAACGTTTCGGAGGAACATCACATTCAGAGTTGAAGAATAAGTCTACCCTGATGATGGAGACAATATGTTCCTCCGAAACTTCAGTTACTTTCAGTGGAATACACAGCGGTATATAGCAGAAGACAGTACCCTTCATGAAACATATCTTGTTAAAATGTTAAAGTTATCTTCGGAACATTTTTCGATGATGCAAATACTGAACTAAAATGCGATGGAACAGCGCTCTACTCGTGCTGCAGTGCTTCTGGTCGACGTGACGCTGTGTTGCGTGGTGATTTCCTCTATTGCGCAGAACCGCTGCAATAGTCTCTGCTATCGGCTTGCTAGGCAACCGTAATGCGTTTGGCCTGTGTCTGTCTCTGTTTCGTTCCTTGGTATCAGCTTAATGCATCGAGCGATCAGTTGTGTAAGCGCAAATATATGGTTATCAGAGACGGGATAGCTCAGTCGGTAAAGCTACGTGCTGGACGGTCAGGAGGGCCAGCGTTCAGACCGGCTCTGGGGTGTCAGGGGCTTGAATCTGACCGACCCCTCACATCCATGTAGTGCCCACCTGCATTACCCAATGCAGCGCGTTGCTGTGGAAGGGCGGCTTCGAAGGTGGCAATGGCCAACATGTGTTGGGGCTGTCTGCACTGAGTAGGCCCGGCCTGTTCCTGCAGACAGCGCTGCGATCTGCAACTGTCAGCTGGGCGGGTTACAGCAGGTGTCAAGAGACCGCGTGAGAGGCTCTTGCACGCTTTTAACTGAGAAGTCTAAAGACCTAAATGTAAACAGGAAGATAACATTCAAATGGATCTCGAAGAATTCTGGGATATAACGCCGTGTGTTGCTTTCACGCTACTTTCGTGTTGGCTTATTCTTTGACCGTGAAGATGGATACAGTATATTCCTACGAAACACATTGATTTTAAACGGAGTGCAGGGCGTTATATCCCAGAAGATAGAACTCTTCATAACCACCATTGTGAGGGCCGCAAATCCTTCGAATGGCGTGTGGAAGTGCGAATTGGGTTCATCTGGCTCACGAATGGGTCCAGTGGACAGTGTTTTGACTTGGCGAGCGAGAGTTTGTTTCCCGACTGCACCGCCACCGGACGGAGGGACGTCGCGACGGATTGCTGCAATAATATCCTTGTACAGGACAAGTGACACATAAGCCGTGTTGTTCAAGTCATTTGCTTTTCGTTGGGACCCAGAGTTGGCTGTACTGAACAAACAGACTCATTGGGGCAGACTTCGGGACAAGCTGACTGTGTGCTGGGCACACTCTCTGCAGCTTCTGATAGAAACGTTTAGCGAGTTATGCTTGACATGCGCAGAGACGCGTGCGAAGTGTCCGGTTGCAGCTAGAACTGGAATGTAGCGATGAACTTCAGCAGAACTGCCCAGTAACATGTTTCATGCGAATGGGCTTGCAGCTAACGGGCAGGTGGAGCCAGTGTCGTGCTGTATTGCCTGCCTCTCAGGCGCCTAGAAATGTCGGTCGTCGTAGTCTGTATCGCGAGCAGGATTCGAAGCAGTAACCACTAAACCCCGACGCCCAGTCCCCTATTTTGTGGCGACGGTGTCTCAAGTGGTTTGCCGGCCCCTGTCTGGGTATACAAGCTGCCAAACAGTACAGCGAAGTAATGAGGTGGATGATTTATGGTGTGTGAACTTATTACGAAGTTTAGATGAATGTGTGTGTGCGATCTCCCGCCATGCTGGGGCCAGCGCACCAAAATGAAAGACTGAAGATGAGCAGAATGTATCCTCAGACTCCAGACAATTCTGCCTCCGGTTTTATTGTCCTGTGCGCGCCGCGCTCTTCCATTGTTCCTGAAGGAGAGCCAGGGCTCTCTGCGAGATTGATCGTTCATAATTCAGAGCCCTCTTGTTCTGGCCTGAACGTGAGAGCCCCCCCCCCGCCCCTGCGGTGTCTCGGCCCGCACAGCTCTCGCCGTATTCCTGAGGTCGTCGGTTCGAGTCTCTGTCGGGACACTGGATGTCCTGGCTGAGTTTTCGTGGTTTTCCGTAGCCCCTCCGGGTAAATTCCGAGATAGTTTCTTGAAACAGGCCAGTACCGCCTCCATGCACAAACTTTCCAATTCAGAATGTATTCCAGCACCATCTGTAGTTAATTGCAAACAGACAAACAAACAAACAAAGACATTTTCCGTCACTTAGTTTGCGTTTGTTTCGAGACAAACGCATCTCGGATACTCGTGAAACCCTTTTTAGACTAACCAGGCATCAGAGTCCCCAGTTGAGACTCTAATAGTAGTTCAACTCCTCAGCAAAATTCCCCCTAGTGTAAGACGGATGTTCATTGCCATGTTCAAAAAAGCCCGCAATTGAGAATATATAGAGAACAATGGACTAAGACAAAAGAACGTTATATATAGATCGCGCTATGGTCTAGGCTCGGTGTGCCGCACGTGACATGTTTCTAACCTGTTGCCGTCCTCATCTTCTTGGACGTTCTCCCTTAAAGGCGCGTCCACATTACTCGTGCTCGTGCTCGTAAATCTTCGTCCACACTACTTCAGTTGCTCGCCAGGCCTCGGCACGTGAGGATCCGTATATTTACTCGTAGTGTGTATAGGGTGTAGTCGTATTTTAATTTACTGGCTATAGTTTTTAAATTAAAAATTTTTAATTTGCTTGTCTCGTGATTTGTCATATCGTCCACATTACTCGCGAGCGTGAGCACGAGTAATGTGGACGCGCCTTTAGATTCATGTTCAGTATCTCGCTCGGTTTCATATTTGTCTCAAAAGGCAATGCTTTTCTTTTTCACCCTTCTTTGCATATTCCCCGTGACGAGAAATGTTCTCAATACACCAGCAGTTGCTATGGTAGCAGGGAGTGCTTTGTCTGTCTGTCTATAGGAGGTGCTTGGTCTACTCACAAAGCGACATCGTGACTGCAGGAGATGAGAACTTGCTCATTATTCCCGGTTTACAGTGAAACACAGATAAATGGATCCTTGGTTGGATTCAGTTAACTGTTTAACGTAACTGGACGCGTGGCTGGTAAACAGATACCCGACGACGAAGCTTGTTACCTGATAAGCCCGTTTGTAATGAGTCTGTTAAGATAAAATAGTTTTGAGGAAATCCCATTTTCTCCTGGCTCACTTCTGCCGGGTTTGGAGTTGGGTCTGTAAGCTGTTCACATAGCCGTACGGCACTGTCCGCTGTGCACCCGATTTTGCTCAGTCGGTAAGCAGAAGCCGTCACTGATCTCGTGAATGTTTGGTTTCCACGGTAACGCGAAGGTAGCGTTACAGCAATGCATTACGTGACATCTGTGCCACACTGAAGTTCTGTGGTACGCCGTCATTTCGGCTCTTCTAGTCTGCAGACCTTGCTTCAGTTTTGTCCCTGTGTAAACCGAGTGTTTCTTATTGTCACGTGTTACAGTGACTCTCGACGGGGTTTGGATTGGATTGGGTTTACTGTCCATTTTAACACACAACTCGTAACCATACTTAGTCGTAGCGCTGTCGCTGATCTCCACAATTTACAAGACACTACAGTACGCACTGAGCCTTTCAGTCTGCTGTCTCTTCACTAATAGTTGCTTGGTAACGGCTCCAGCAATGGCTATTGTCTGCCTCTCTGAATGGTAACTGACTAACTCGTCTTGGTGCCAAGACCCTAGAGACTCACGACCAGTAATTTTATTTACCAACTGAAGACTTGCGGTTATAGTCCTTGTGCAACATGCTCTCTGACGAGAGGTACGGTGGAGGTGTTGGAGCCCGCCTCCACACGGGTGTAAGGCTCCCAGACTGGTGTTCTCGTTATATCCTTTGCACCGACCGCGTAGAAAACACTGTTTCCAACAGTTCCTTTACTCTTGCATGTGTATCCGTTGCAGCGGGAACGTCTTTACCGAGCCGTTCCATTGCCGGGGCCGCCTGTTCTATTTATTAAAAATTTGTTGCCTAGTAGCGAATGTTGTTTCGTTGTCCGCTTCGAGGTCGCTACCCAGCAACGGCTGTACAACGCTACAATGTAATTGTCACTTCTGGATTTTTGCGTGATATTTATTTCGATTGTGCACAAACTTGCGATGTGGAGATGGAGCTGTTTAGTAGTTGAGTGCCTGGGTATGAGCGTGATAACAGTGATACCACCGTGAGAGGCTGATAGTGTTCGGACGCGTTTCAGAAGATTGCCTGTGTTTCAGACGTGTGCTCGCTACGTCAGTTCCGGTGCAACAATGGCCGCTGCATCCCGCTCACGTGGATGTGCGAGGGGGAGGACGACTGTGGCGACGGGAGCGACGAGAGCGCTCCAGAATGTCACGGTAAGCAAGCATGAAGTCGGGTGACGGTGGTGGCCGACATGAAGCATGTTTTTTGTAAACTGTGATATGCGAGTATGAGTGAACTCGGTTTCTGAACCTAACAGCAAATAACACTGACTTGTTTCATTTCTGCCCCTGGAAATTACAACACAGCTAACAACTCACGTTTCATTCTGTTGTGAATGCATGCTGACGTTACGTGGGGACGCGTGCGCGTGTGACTGTATAGCGTCGCTACCAAATAACAATAGTCGTTCTATAATGTGAGCCGAGGCAATTAGTGATATGTCTGGCTGCACGTCCAGATCGGCCCCGGGGCCCACCCAACCTCCTGTTCAAAGGATGCCGGTGATCACGTGACCGGAGTGTGAACCTTCATCAAAGAACTCCTGGAGTTGTACCTCCACGACGTTACTTAGACACAGCTGGGGCACGAGCAGCAGTCGCACTGCAAAAGACAGACCACACATACCTGTCAGCTCGAGCTGTAAGTCCCAGTTGCCGCTGAGCACAGCTGTTTCCGTCGCTGTTCTCAGACCCTCCATACTGTACATAACACATTCAGCAGATAAAGCGTTGTGCAAGAACCAACTGCCATGCCCCTCCTACCTCATCCAAATAGTGTCTAGCGTAACGTAGAGAGTTCCGTGCCCTCTGCCTTCCCACTTAGCCCATCAAAACAGGCTGAACAGGATCAGGGCTTTTATTTTCACGGTCACGAGCTTGTCAGCTACTCCTTGCTTGTGAATCTCCCAGTAGCCGCAAGTGGACGGAGGAGAATCATAAATCTCCCATGTCCGCTTCTTCATTCTCGAGATGTTGGCAGGCCTGATGTGTTGTTTTCTGACCATGACGTGATGGATGACGTCAGTGTGGTCACGTCCTTATCTGGCATCTTGAGGAACTCCATCGGCTGTCCTGGAGGGGAAGACGGATGCTGCTTTTTATCTTTGGCCCGAGGAAATTAGTCCAGGCCGTGGGGGGACAGTGACGTCATACTTGGACCTGCCGTGAGGAAACGGAAGTGACGCGTGTCTCATACTGGCAGAACTTTGCAGTGTCTGGGGTCATGACAGAACGTGGGAGACGCATTACTTCGCTTTCGTGCAGTTATCACGAAAACCGTAATTGTTTCGAAACATCTCTTCTTCCAATAAATACTTTGCCATCTACGGGCGAGATGCACGTTTAGCAAAAGTTGCAATATCTCGTCAGGTTTTAGTAGAACTGAACCATTCAAAATTTCACGAAAATCCGTTGAGCTGCTCTCGAGTTGTGACGAGAACAGTGTGGTCACAGACGTTACCTTGTGCTCCTGAAGCGAGACGCTTGCCAACCGCAACTTTTGTCTTGCTGCAGGCGTAAATTTCATACGAACCTAATCCTGCCATTTTGTCCACTTGTCCGTCCGCCAGGAGATGTCCGTGTGACCATTGAAAATTGCATGCAGTTCTGATTTAGAAATTGGCCAGCTTAACGTTGTTGCGTCACGCAGCGCGATTGTTTCGTGACCCCCCCCCCCATTTCTCAATAGCACACGGACCTCCCGGGTTCAAGTCTCGGACCGTAGGTAGGCTATGTTGACTGACGTATCTTGCGATTTTTGTTAACCCATGCAGGCAGATGGTAGGATACTTTTCGAAACTGGGCCACGGCTGTTTTCTTCATTCTTTCCAATGAACTGTTCATCAGTCGTTCTGTCATTCGGCTCTGTGTAATCTGACATAAAGAACAAACTTCGTGGTTTTAGTCCGCAAGCGAACTATACCGACCGAGCGACCGCCGCTTGTCGGCGAAGTTAGTGCCAACTTTTGCGGATAGAGGGTGTTACGTGGTCAGCGCAGCGGATCGCCACGATCGTTAATCTGGGTTTTCTAGACCGGTGTAATCTGACATAATAATAATAATAATAATAATAATAATAATAATAATAATCCGCGTCATTCTTCGAATCTGAAAGTTCATTACTGAGCTCACAAGAGCCCACATAGGTATGGGACAGAGTATTTTTAAACTGAGGCCTGCTTTACCTTTAATGATGATGATGATTGGCAGGCAAAAATCGAAGTTCTATAAGATAAACTTCCCCAACTGCCGCTTCATCCACCACACATCTTACACAGATTATCCTGGTATAGAGCACTCAGCNCCTGCAGGCCCTGTCTCAAGCCGCTGCTTAGCGAGCCTTCTCACGAAATCACGTTCTGTCTCGTTCTTCAGATGAAATGCCTGTCACTCGTCCCATGCAGTCTTCTGCTGTTCCCTCTCTGTCCCGGCCCGGGAACGAAGGACACTGTTTCGATCTCGGAGCGCCGGGGTCGCAAGTGAAGCGGCCCGCGTGTTGAGTTACTTCATGTCGTCACTTCTTTTCGCGCTGAGGTCAGCTACTGTAGCCTCGGTTGCGGGTACGTACAGGCATTACCGCGAAGTAAAGAACGCCTCAGCTGTTGTCAGGCATTTCTGAAAGACGGCATTTTTCTGCCCGGAACTCAAGATTCTCGACCTCGTTTCGGAGATCCCTTGTTCATGGGTTTTGCCCGTTGCTCTCCACAGAATTCTTGTTGGTCGCATGTTCGTGTTAACAGTCGCCCTAACACTGGACGCTAATTGCTCTGACGTCGGTAAGCACGTAACGAAGCACCCAGTTTAGCAGTAATTGTGTGCAGCGCAGTTTGTTCCTGGAGATGCAGGCTTGCCAACACCGAAGGTCACGATATCCGAGTTTCATTTTCGATTGGGCCGAGGTTCGGTTCTAGCAAATGGCAGACTTTCTGCTCTAGACGCGAGTCGGGGGCCAGCACAGGAAGGTGTAATTGAGGGCCAAAAATGGCAGGCTGTTGTGGTGACGATGATGAACATTTATGTTTCATAACCGCAGAGAATTCTTAACCAATGCTCCTTCTGGTAAAATTATAGGAATGAGGAAAACAGCGAAATTAAGAGCTTCATAGTTAATTCCATTTTCCGGGTCGCTGGATTGGGTCACATTGTAGCACGCATGGGGAACTATATTTGGTATCATAATATTATCACGATATAGTGGTGTGTCTATAGACGGCGTATGGAATGGTGAGTGGATTTATTGACCCCTTTTACTCACGACTCGGAACTACAAGTAATTACAGCACTATCGCTAATCTCCACACTTTATACAAACGACCACAGCACCCGCTAAGCCTTTGTCGAACCAGTTGTGTCTTCGTCAGCTGTTCCCTAGCAACTGCTTCTAACAGTGAAGATTCTTCAGCTTTCCGCCCTCAGGTCCTGTTCTCACAGCCGCCAGTGCAGAACTTGACTCAACTGCCAACCTTCAACTGACTCCACTCCACTCCACGTCACTCCACTCCACTCCACTCAGCTGAACTGAACTCCACTCCACTCCACTCCACTCCACTCCACTCCACTCCACTCAGCTGAACTGCACTCAAGTCAGAGTCGGAATGAATCAGTTCGTCTTGGCGACAAGCGCCTTGAAACTCACGACCAGTAATTTTATATTCCAACTGAACACTTGTGGTTATAGCCCTTATGTAATATCCTCTCTGACGAGAGGATGGGTCTGTCGTTTACGATTGCTGCTGATCCTCGCCAGCGCAATCATTCTCAGGTCCGTGTCCCGTGGGACTCAGACCATATTTTACTGTCTCAGATTGGAGACTCTCCCAACCTGGAGGGCCCCCCAGGAACAGGGTGGCCCGGTTATACCGCCAGGCGCTGGGTTACATTTTCGTCGCATCCTACGACTCGCCGGGCTACGGTGAGGCATTCTACCCCGCCTCCACACGGGATTGACTGCACTCAGCCGGCCTGGGGTCGTCGCTATATAGCCTCGGAGCGGACCTAACAGAAAGCACCGCCTGCAACAGTCCCTCTAGTGTTGTCATGGTCGGTTGCCTAGCGATAGCTCGGATATAGCTGACGGGTTTACCGACCGTTACCAAGCAACGCATGTTCCTTCTCGCTATCGTTGCATAGCAACGGCACTACATGCTACAATATTAAAGATTCCGAGGCTGCGGGCTTGATGAAATTATCTTGCTGCCAGCTAGCGTCAGTGTCTGTCCGTGTGTTCCTGCTCCACACGTGTGAGACACGTGTGGTGTTCAAACAAGTCTGACGTGGCGCCAGTACTCGCCAACAGAACATTCTTGTGTATGCGTTCTTCTTTTCACTTTGAAGAATTTAGTTTTTTTTTGTGTGTGGGAACTTCAGAAATGAAATTGAGTTGCTATGAGGACGGGCCAACTTTGAGGAAGATTACTCAGCGTGATGACGCGTTTGGTCTCTTTTTTTCTGGAGGTACCCAGTTCGAATGCTGCCCCTCCCCCTGGTACGTGTGACTCGAAACAGCGGATGTCTGTAGTTGGTAGATCGTCGTTAACCAGGGACCTTATTAGTTGCAGCAGTGGAATCGACTCTTGTCAGGAGCAGAGATTGATGACCTGTCATGGCGGATGGAAGCTTTAAGCTCCGGCCTCATCACTGGTAACCCCAGCTGTAGCCTGATAAGTGCAGCGAATTTGAATTTGAGATCCTTCTGTGGTTCGGGCCGACGGGCGGACAAATTGCCCCCCCCCCTCCGGCTTGTCCTGGGCGCGCCGGAAACTTAACTACTGTAGAGTTTATCTTCTGAGATCAAACTTTACCGAACTACACGGCGTCACATCGCCTCTGTGACAAACTGACGCCACGAGTACGACACCTTTCGTAAGAGCGTCGCTCTGTTCTGCACTGTCCAGCCTGCATTTTCACTCTCCCTTCCTGTACGATGGGTGACAGTAGGCCCATCTACTTCTAGGTCTCCAAAAGCGTCCTTTTCTCTTGATGTCTTACAATCCAGTTACGTGCTTCATGTCTCACCGACCTGAAAAAATCAAGAAATGTGGTCACCTTAATAACATTTCATAGAGAGTCTTCTCATTATCTGCTTTTCTGCGCCCACCTGCCACTTCACCTCCCTTCCGCCCAAGTTGCACGCTCATGCCGAACAACAGGTCGAA